TGCTAAGAAACATATAATGCGCTTCTAATGCATTTAATCTTGCTAAGAAACACCATCTAATGCGCTTCAAGTCTACTATTCTGGTTTGTTGGAACCCTCCAGAAGGTGAATGGGTGAAACTTAACTCGGACGGAGCTGCAAAAGGTAATCCTGGAATGGCGACTTGTGGAGGAGTTTTTTGAAATGCTACTGATCAGTGGTTAAATGGTTATTCTTATAGAATTGGAGTTTATAATGCTCTAAATGCTGAGTTTTGGGGTATACTTAAGGGACTAGAGTTAGCTTGGGAATTTGGTTGAAGGAAAATAATTATAGAAAGTGATTTGTTATCTGTTATCACTTTGCTCACCAAAATTGGTGATGCAGCCTGCGAAAATCATTTGATTTCTCGGATACGGGCATGGATCACAAAGGATTGGATAATTCATTTGAGGCATACATATAGAGAATGCAACAATATTGCAGACTGGCTGGCAAATTATCCCCTAGCTAATGCTGATGGTCCTAACATATGTAGTTTCAATTCCTCTCCCCCTGGTATTGAGTTTCTGTTTAATGCTGATTTAGCTTCTGTTTGTAGGCTTCAGTTTATTGACTTTTTGACCCTTTTGCCCCTCATTAATTAATTAATAACCATTTTTCCCGTGACCGAAAACTATCCGCCAACCTGTCCCCTTTTAATCGATTAACTTGAATATTTAATCGGTTAAATGGTCAAAATACAAGAAAAACGTTGACCCAAAATTTAATCGAATAAATATCCCTCTTAATCGATCAGGACATTTAATCGATTAAAAACATTATTTAATTGATTAAATTTCGTCAAGAGCGTTTTTTAAAAACCCCCATTTGGCAGAGGGGGTTATTTTGAAACCCTAATCGATTAAGGTTTACATTGACATTTGCGATTGAGCAAGTCGACCCTCATTATGTCATCGGCATCATGTGTAGATTGATTATAGGCATCCTCAACTTCAAATAACTGCAAAGTCCCTATCAAAAACCCGCACACAGAGACTCACTATTAACTGATCATTTTTTCATATGTAATCCTCAACCTTTTTTGCAAATCTCCAACCTTTTGCCAATGCATTTTGGATCTTTTCACGTCTCTTGACAAAATACTCAACAAGTCTACTTTGAGTCATCTTGACCAATGCCGTTATAGGCAACTTACGTGCACCCCTTAAGACCTTATTGACACACTCAGATAGGTTAGTCGTCATGTGACCAAACCTACGACCCTCCTCATTATAAGACCTGCACCATTTCTCTTTGGGAATCTGATCTGTCCATGAAGCTACTTGTGGGTTACTATCGATAAATTCCTAAAATCTGATATCAAAAAGAATCTTCGAACTCATGTACCCTGAAAATTATGAAAATTGAATGCATTACATACAAATTTGCATTAGAAATAATCAACTAAAACAACATGTACATATTCAGGAAATTGCGTACATAATTTTATCAGGGTTTTCTTCAATTCCATATCCCTAAACTTAGTGTTAAAGTTGCTTCCGATGTGACGTAGACAAAACACATGATAGGCAAATGGAGGCTGCCAACCGACATGATCTCTTACAACCCTTATGATGCTGAGGTGACGATCGGATATTAGACAAATGTCATGCCTATATGTCACATGAAAACGAATGAGGCTAAGAAACCACAACAAATCTTCCAATCTCTCACCCGGAGGAATAATAGCAAAGGCAATAGGCAGAATGTATCCATCTCCATCTTGTGACGTCGCAATCAAAAGGGTTCTTTTGTATTTCTCATACAAATGTCTGCCATCAATTTGGATTATGGGTTTACAATATTTGAAGGCCTCAATGCACTGGTGAAATGTCCAAAATACCCTGTGAAAGATAGCTTTATCGGTGTAAACTCGATGTTCGTCAAAACATTGGTCCGTATCAATCTTGAACACATAACCCACATTAACCTACGTCATGTATGTCAGCCAACCAGGCAAGAATGCATATGATTTATCCCAGTCACCAAATAACTTCATAATGGCCTTCATTTTAGCCTTCCAAGCCTTCGTGTAAGTTATGTTGTATCCATACAAACGATGTACCCTCTCTTGAATAAGAACTGGTTTTAAAGATGGATCTTCCTTTAACATACCTATAAAGAAAAAAAACTCGAAGTCAACATTGTCAATAAACATATTTCATTAAATAACATAAACATAACATATGTAACCAAACATCGCATAATACATACTCATAATGGTTGCACAGATAACATCAGAATCCAGCTGTCTATGATCTCGGGTAAGACCTTGGTTTAGGCAGGTGTGTTCTTTACCCCACTTACTGACCACCCAAGTATTTTCATTCTTCGGCAACAATGCCCTCACATTCCAGGGACTACCACCATTATGGTGTTGACACTTCATCACAAATCTATGCTCATCACTTTTTGCCACTACGGTTGTACGGTGAGCCTTCATATAATATAATTTAACTGCATGTTGCATTTCAGATTTGCTACGAAACTCCTGATACAAATATAATGGATTCCCTAATTGCCAACCACCGTGCAAGTCATCGTCACCATACAATATCCCCGTCTCATCATTAGGGTGGGCCCAATTAATGAAGGAATGATGCAGGCTTTCGTTCCAAAATGGCTCGATCTCAGAACCTACGTCTAAATTATTACTTTTCCGTCAGTACCAACAATAACACAAAGATGAAATGTTAAATTAAAACATTAATTTACTATCTTACCACTACTAATTGGATCAACATGAAGTGGTGGCATAACCGGAGAACTCAGGTTTCCTGAGTTTGTGTCAGCGTCAAAATCACCCTCTATGTCAGTATCTGAGGTGTCACCTAGCGAAATAACACTCTCAGGTTCACCGTCCTCATCACTGTCCATATCCTCCTCGTGCTCATCCTCATCTATTTCCCTCATTGTTATCTGACTTATGACAGGTACAGGTGCAGAAAAATCGACGACTTTGTCTTCTTGACCAAAATATTGTTCAATTTTTGTATGCATGGGTGCAGATGAAGATTGATCATAATCTATTTCAACATATATCTCAATAAAATTTTGAAATTTTCGGTCAACAATTGCATCTATGACACATTTCACGTCTTCATTATCACATATATCGTTACTAATGTAGTATATAGTATCCTTACCAACTGTAGACTCTACCCTGACTATCATCTGCTTAAACGCATTGGTTGCCTTGTAGCCCCAATTTTTTATGAATTCTCTCCTTCCGCTCATTGTATGTAGTGCCCCGTTTGATTTTCAACATTTTCATTTTTCCTTCAAATTGAACACCATTGGGGCCTTCATAATGTCTTCCATCATAGTAGATCAATGTAACACATGTTTGGACTTGAGCTCATCTTTCACACGAATTTTGGACTAGGATTCGGATTTAGGGGGTTTGAGTTCAGATTTTGGGGGCAACAAATGAATATATAAGTGCAATGACAATGATTTCACAAGATTAAGGCTTTAGAGATGGTGGGATGAAATAAAATATTGATTGCAAGGATTACAGATGACAAACAAGAGAGATATTAGTTTACAAAACGATAATATTTGAAATGAGACCGAGAATGGGCAAAATAGAGGGTTTTGCCGATATTTAATGGATTAAATATTGCTTTTTAATCGATTAAATGTCTCGAAATTTTATCGATTAAAAAAGATATTTAATCGATTAAATTTTGTATCAATGTTTTTCTTGTATTTTGATCATTTAACTGAATAAAGAGAGGCAAGTTGGTGGATAGTTTTGAGTGAGGGGCAAAATGATTATTAATTAATTAATGAGGGAAAAAAGGGTAAAAAAAGCCTCAGTTTATTTCTATTGTGTAATTCTACTTTGTGTTGTGGGTATTCCCCCTCAGCTTACCAAAAAAAAAAAAAAGATTAAAATGTAACATTTTCAACTCTTGTGGATGAAAAGCGTAATTTTTTAAAATAGAAAAGATGGTATAACGTATTTACCTTCAAAATTAGAGATATTTATAAATATTTAATGTTGAAATCTCTAAAAAAAAATTTGGTTAATAAAGGAGTTGAGATTTGATAAGAGAATTATTGTTCCCGAAAAAGGATAATACGTCTAGTTTTTTAAATATAATTGATTATTATTTAATTAGCATTAAATATTATTTTGAATTTTAAAAAAAAATAAAAAGTAATTAAATATAATAAATCAACACTAAACAAACCTAGAGTGAAAAATATTAATATAAAAATCTAAAATTATTATATTGTCTAAACGAATAAATTGTGATTTGATAGAGTTTCAAAAATAAAAGGAAAATTTAAAATAATTTATTATAATCCAATTAACATAAAATATTCATAAAAAAGAAAAGCTTCTTAAATAAAAAAAGTAATTAATTACAAAATAATAAATCAAACACAAAATAAGTAATTAAAATAAAAAATTTATTATATTATCCAAACATATAAATCGGAATTTGATAAAAGAACTTTGTTTTGAAAAATAATAAATAAATATCCTAATGTAATAAAAGAAAAGTATAAAAATAATTGATTAATCTAATCAACATTTTATCCTTGATATGAAGATATTATTAAAATAAAAATATAAAACTACATTATCATTACCTAAAATTAAAAAATCTAAAAATTTGAAACCGATAAACGCAAATTTTATTTTTGCATCAATAATAGCATCATGTTCAAATGATTTTGCAACTTAAGCAAAATCTTAATCACAATAGCTTCCATTGCACTTTCTTTTTTATAATTATCCGTAACTTTTTTACATTATCTTAGCATATTTTTTGTTCATTATTATATGACTTACTATTTTCATCAGTAGATTAGAGTCAGAGCATCAAGGTTGGCTAGGCTGCTATTGTGGAAAATCACGGGTATTGGCGTGAATCTAACGCATTGGCATGTGTTTTGTTTGTTTGGTTGGGACTCTTTGATGTCACTATATATACTAAGGTCATGAAGAGTCTTTGGTATTAGAGAACGAACAAAACCTTTACCAGAGAGAAACATTGAACTGAAAATATTAACGTGAAGATGTCAGCATCAGGAGAGAGAGGAATTCAAGAGGAGGAGAAAAAGTCTGCTGTTCAGGGAACACAAATTAATATCAAAGTCAAGGGCCAGGTCTTAGTTCTATATTCACCTTTCTTCTCAGTTAAATTTTATGATTGTTATTAAAAAAAATCATGTTCTTGATTTTGACAGTGCATTTTGTTTTTTTCTTGTGTAAGTTTTATTTTTTATTTTTTATTTTTTATTGAGGTTCTAATTTTCTTTTTGTTTTACATGTGAAGGAAAGAAGATAAATAATTTGTGGGTGGCATATGTTGTGTTGTATTTAAGAGATTTCAATATTTCTCGGTGTTTGATTTTAGTTTAATCTATAATGAAATTTAGTGTTGGGTTCGTCACTTCCTCTGTTCTGTTTTGAGCAACAGGGTTAAGCTCCTTATACTTGGGCTTCCGAAAGCAATGATTAACTATAACTTTTGATGAAACATATTTTTAAAGTTCATGCAGAGAAAATCTGATGGATAAAATGCAAAGTTGCATGATTTGGAACAATTGTTTATTACATTGTGTTTTGAGTAAATACTCTTTTTGGTCCTCAACAAATTTTACGATATCTGTTTTAGTCCCTAGCAAATAAAAAGGCCCATCGTGGTCCCTAAGAAATACAAAATGAACTTACTTAGTTGAAATCGTGGTCCCTTACAAATTCAAAAAAGACCCATATTAGTCCTAGAAGGACTAAAATGTGTCCATTTCGAATTTCTTAGAGATCACGATGGGCCTTTTTATTTGCTAGGGATTAAAGCGGGCATCGTGAAATTTGCTGAAGACCAAAAAGTATTTACTCTTGTGTTTTATAATGCAATTGTTATAATTCAATTAATTTGCCATCAAAACATGCTGTATTTACTATGTTTCTCTGGCTTATTAAGAAACAATGACATGATGTTTTTCATCTTTACCCATTACCTCGATATACAAATTATTTTTTGGGTCAAGTTCTTTATAAATTTTTAATCTGTTTCAGCTTGACTTTCTTGTAGGATGGTAATGAGCTTTTCTTTAGGATAAAAAAAAGCACTCCGTTTCGGAAACTCATGAATGCATACTGTGATCGGCAATCTGTGGATTTTAACTCGATTGCTTTCTTGTTTGATGGAAGGAGAATTCGAGGTGAGCAGACTCCTGATGAGGTAAATTTTGGTTTGGTCAAAACGCAATGCAGAGTTTTTGGAGGTTCATTTGTCCTTGTACAACTCAAGTTTCATCTTTCAATTGCTACAATGTATAATCCTCGTACTTCATGTTTGTTGTATTTTGGAATTTTCTTATGGATAATATTTCTCGTGTAACAGGATATAAATGGATTTATAAAAAAAAAATACATGATATTTTGATAAAATTTATGATATAAGAGAATTCTGAGTAATTGATGGATATAGCTTTATATTGTGTTGCAGGAAAAACGCTTTTTCCTTTTCTTATAGGGTAATATAAATATTATGTAACTGGAAAAAAAAACCACTTTCCTACACAAACAATGCAAACATGGGGTCCATCATTTTTCTTTTTTCTTTTTTCTATTATTTTCTCTCTCCTCTCTTTTGTGTCTACGGGAAAATCAATCATGAGTCCTGTTACATAATACTTCTATAACCCTTTCTTATACTATAGTTTTCAAAATGTCCTTGTCAGACTGATTGATATGACATTATCCATTTATAATTACTATATATTCTATTCTAGAATTTGTAGTTGATATCATCCAGTTTCATATGGAATTGCAGACAATTTGTTCTGTCAGTTAATTCTGAGAAACTGTTTTGTGCAGCTAGAGATGGAGGATGGTGATGAGGTAGATGCAATGCTACACCAAACGGGAGGTGGACATGAGTTTCTTTAGACGTATGTTGATCTTCATCAAAATGCTTGAGAAAGCCAATGGTCTAGATTTGGTGCTTGTCTTTAAGTTTTTCATTTTCATACCATATATTATGATATGAATGTGGAAAGGTGGATAGTTATTTTCAAGTTTATTGAAGTCCAGTTGCTTACAATCTACTATTATGTTGGATACTGTGTTATGCGGTAGGATATTTTTTTTTTTTTTGGGTAAGCTGAGGGAAAAAAACTCACAGCACAAGATAAAATTACACAATAGAAATAGTCTGAGATCTACAAACAGACGCTAACTCAACGTTAAACAGGAACTCAATACCAGGGGGAGGGGAATTGAACCTACACATATCAGGACCAACAGAATTAACTATGGGATAATTAGCCAACCAATCTTTATTATTGCCTTCTCTATATGTATGCCTCAAGTGAATTGTCCATTCCTTTGCAATCCATGCTCGTATTCGAAAAATCAAATGACTCTCGCAGGCTGCATCACCAGAATTGGTGAGCAAAGTGATAGCAGATAACGAATCACTTTCTATAATTATTTTCCTCTAGCCAAATTCCCATGCTAACTCAAGACCCTTAAGAATACCCCAAAACTCAGCATTTAAAGCATTACAAACTCCAATTCTATAAGAAAAACCATTTAACCATTGACCAGAAGCATTGCGAAAAACTCCTCTACAAGCAGCCAAACCCGGATTACCCTTTGCAGCTCTGTCCGAGTTGAGTTTCACCCAATCAGCTTCCGGAGGATGCCAACAGACCAGAATGCTAGCCTTGGTGAGCATTACATGACTTTTCTTAGCAAGATGAAAAGCTTCTTGAAATTCATAAGCTTTAGATTCCACCAAGTATTTCTTATAATGATGATGGGATTTTGTTCCACCAAAAACCTTTTCATTCCTCCAAATCCAAGCCATCCAACAAGTAGTTGCAAATATTGTATGCCATGGCATGATACCATTAAACTTCTCAGAATTCAGCATATTACCCTGCAGCCAAATCAACAAACTGTTAGATAAAAAAGAGTTATATAATTGGTTGGAACGAGCTCTGTCCAAAGGTTCCGGATTTTATTGCAATCCCTTAAAAGATGAATGATGCTCTCCAGTTCCTCCAAACAAACAGGACAAGATGAAGTTCCCAAATTGAATTTCCATAATCTTTCTCTAGTAGGAATTTTGTTGTGGGACACTTTCTAGAGGAATAATTTGATGGCTTGAGGCCCCTCCCACCTCCAAATGTTTTTCCACCAAGTTTAATTAACTTGTATAGAATCATTATCTTCCATGAGAGTCTCATAAATTATTTTGCCTGAAATTCCAGCTTCATCTCCTAACCACCAAAGCCTCTGATCTGGTCCATCAAGAGAATTAGGTGGGAGTAAACTTTTAATTTTCAACAGAATATTTTGTGGCAGCCATCTAGAAAGAGATTCCAAATCCCACTTGCCATGATTACTCACATACCCAGTTAATTTTTTCCCTATCTCTTCCCATGGAATTGGAACCACCATTACATTCGTAAACCTTCCTATGTCTTTCATCCAGATATCTTTCCAAAAAACAATACTGTTCCCATCACCTATTTCCCAAGTGAGCCGATTTCTAAAGTTTTCCAAACCATACAGATGTGTTTCCAAAGTCTAGAATCAGAACCAGAGTTATGAAAAATGTCCACCCCATTATGATGCCTACCATACTTTGCACGAAGGACCTGGACCCAAAGAAGTACCGGTTGGGAAAATACAGCCGAAGCAAGCTTACCTACAAAGGCATCATTCATCTTAGATAGGCACTTCAACCCCAACCCACCAACAGCTTTTGATTTCACTAGAGTATTCCAGCCAATCAAATGGAGTTTCTTTTTATTATCTGTATCTCCCCAAATAAATCTTCTCTGCATTTTCTCAAGCTCATGACAAATCGATAAAGGTAATTTATCACACTGCATTTGATAATAAGGAATAGTGGCAAGAACAGATTGAGTAAGGGTTATTCTGCCTGCTTGTGATAAACACCTTGATTGCCACCCATTTAATCTATCCTGCACCTTTTCCATTATGTTCCTGTATGCCTCTTTTGAAACTCTGCCATGGTTCATCCAAACTCCCAGATGCCTCCCCACATTTCTGACTCTTTTAAAGCCACAAGCATTAGTAATCTCCTCTGCAGTATTCTCTGGAATATTTTTAGAGAAAAAATACTAGTCTTTTGATGACTCACTTTTTGCCCAGAAATTTCTTCAAACAGCTTAAAACATTTTATGATTGTTTCAATTTGTTGAAGATTAACTTCAGCAAAAATCATTAAATCATCAGCAAACATCAAATGAGAGACTGGAGGACCCCCACTCCCAATTTAGATCGGATTCCACAGACCCCCATCAACAGCAGTGTGACTATGTGACTGAACTTTTCCATTCCAAGCACAAACAAATAAGGTGATAACGGATTTCCTTGACGAATTCCACGGGAAGGCTGAAACTCGTCAGACTTCACACCATTCCAGAGAATATTGAACTTAGTTGAAGAATTTGCAGCCATAATGATATGAATCATTTTTTCTGGAAAATTTAGCTCCATCATTATTTTCCATATGAATTCCCAACTTAGCCTATCATAAGCTTTATCCAGATCAACCTTAATTGCCATGAAAGCTTTCTTACCTCTCATTTTGTGCATTAAATGAATTAGCTCCTGCACTATAACAATATTATCTTGTATATGTCTTATAGGAACAAAACTGGATTGCACAGGGGAGATAATTTTTGTCATGATACCTTTTAGCCTATGCACCACAATCTTACTCAATAATTTATAAACAACTGGACAAAGAGATATAGGTCTAAATTGAGACATATTGGTCAGATTCTGAACTTTAGGGATGAGGACCAATAAAGTAAAATTTTTAGTGGCTAATATATCCGGATTCTCCCACAAAACAGCTATATGCTTAGAAATTTGATCCTTCATTCTGTCCCAATTTGCTTGAAAGAAAAAGGCTGGGAACCCGTCAACACCAGGAGCTTTATGAGATCCCATGTCAAACAAATTGCTTTTAATCTCATCTTGACTAGGGGACTTAGCAAGCATTCTCAATTCCTCTGTATTTAAAACAGGCCAGAGAACTTGAGAAGACAGCCATCTCCTATTAAAATTTTCCTCTGCAAAAAGCTTCTTATAAAAATCACAGGCCAAGTGCTTCAAATCTTCTTGATCCTCAATCCAAATATTGGCATCATTTTTTAATCTAGTAATTTTGTTATGATTCCTTCGAACAATTGTATTGAGATGATAGAATTTTGTGTTTCTAGTACCATCTACAATCCATTGTTGCCTAGACTTTTGAAACCAAAGGAGCTCTTCTTCTTCAAGTACCCTAGTTAGGTGTTGCTGAAGCTGATTCTCCCTATACTCCAGTCTGGTTGAATCATTTGCAACTCTAGCAGCCTGGATTTTATCAATTTGACTTGTTATTCTATCTTTTTTTCTATGAATGTTACCAAACACCTTTCTATTCCAGCTACACAGATGAGGCACCAGTCTATGCAGCATGTAAGGTATATCAAAAACATGATCCCAGTAATCATTAAGGAACTGATTAAACCTAGGATGATTTTACCAAGCCACTAGGAACCTAAAGAGCTTATTACCTTTAGCAACATTACGATCCACAAGCTTAAGCAAAAGAGGATTATGGTCAGAATTAATCCTCGGGAGACGAGTGACTTTAGCATCTTCAAACACTAATCTCCATTGCATATTTGCCACTATACGATCCATCCGCTTGAACACTCGGTCCAAATGAGCCCATTTTGGACCTTGCCAAGTGATGGAAGATCCTTTAAAGCCCACATCATCTAAATGACAATCATGTAAAATGTCTCTGAACTTTTGACATTTAGAGATATTTGGAGGTGATCCTCCTTTTTTCTCCCAACTAGCTGCAATTTCATTGAAATCACCTCCCACAAGCCAGGGATCATTTACATTTCTGCCCACATTCTTCAAATCCTCCCATAAACTTTATCTATCAGCTTCCCTTGGACTAGCATAAACTGTTGTGCACAGAAAACTATCCCCTTGATTTAAAGTAACTTTCATATGAATCATTTGATTAGTCTGAGAAAGAGGTTCCACTTGAACCTTAGTTAAAGACCACAAAATCCAAATACCACCTGAAAAGCCATGAGCTTCTTCTACCCAAATTCTATCAAAGCCACATTTCTTCATAATACTTGATCCTACATTACTGTTTGTTCTAGGTTCAAGAATTACCAAGATAGCAATTTGATGAGATTTAACCAAATTAAAAATAACACGCCTAATATCCCTACCAACAACACCTCTCACATTCCAAAATAACATAGACATAAATAAACTAAGAAAGATTTACAGGGTTATAGAGAACCTGTGACTCTTCCTCCGTGGGCGTATGTAACTCACACTGGATTACATTTGAATTCAGAATCTGTGCAGGAAAATCCTGGTCCATTTCTTGCTGTTCCAAATCAGGAGGTCTAGGAGCATGAGTACCCCAACCAAGTCTATCTGCTTCTTCCTCTCAAGACTGGTATTTATGGGCTTCTGGTTTGTGTTTCTTTGGATTGAAGGATTCTCACTGGAATTAGAAGATTCTTCCATTGCTATCACTCTGTCTTTGGTCTCAATTTTATTTATCAAAATATCAGCCTTTCCATTCTCTGGAGTTGTATCCCTTTCGACCTCCAAATTGTTCTTCTCCATATTTAATTGGGAACCACTCATCTTAACTGACTCCTTTTTACCTCTAATTAACTTTGAAATTATTCTTTAATTCCACCAACTGAACCTCCTTCTTAGATGCTCTTTTTTTATCTTTTTTCCTTGAAGCCAATTTCTGACTTTGCATGCCCTGACCATCTTTTCCACCATCCTCATTGTTCCTACCCTTCTGATCTTCACCAGCCTCCTGAGTTGATTCATTAACTTCTGTTTCTAGAGGAGCATATCTAGCAAGATTTCTTTCTGGAATTTGGCGATTAGGAGCCCCATCAACCCCTTTCTGGTTTGAACTACTGCCTCTGAAGCCTCTTTTTTGTCTATTAACCAACATCCACGGACCGAATCTACCTTCTTGAGTCTGATCCCCTATCTCAGGTTCATGAT